TTCCTAGAAATTAATTGTCAGTGTTATCACAGAAAATTCTGTGTGGTGGGTTTAGCTGTCGTTTGCAATGAATGATGCTTGTTATATATCCGGGACGAAACCGATACGAGGACAATCATTCATCAAGTAAATCAGCCGAAACACATTTAAGCCATCGAGATCAGATTTGCGGAATTTGGAAATATAGTATCGCATAAAGGATAGAAAATCAACTGATTTTGCACGTTTAAAATGGAGCCATAAAATTTCAGGAGGCAGAACACGGCAGACTAGTCCGGTGATAAAAAGAAACCGATCTGAAGAACATCCGTTAGCGCACAACACATCAGAACTCTCAAAGGGAACATTCCAAAACGATAAAAAGACAAGTACCTGTCGTGCGGATGACAAGGAAGATGCACTGCGCCGTAAATACAGCTTGTTTATACTGCCCGCTGTTTTCAACTCCGACAGCTTTGACTGAAGAGAAATGCGATCTTCCTCCAACCGATGCACTCGACTTTTCAATTCGTCACGTTCCCCTTCTAGTTCCTCAATGCGTGATCGTAAACGAGCAATCGCCGCGTGCCAGCGAACCTCGCGGCGACTCAAGTCTGAACGCGACTCGTGCAACTATTGGAGAGAACGAAGAAAATAAGAAAATGACAGGACTGGTTTCGGTTCACATGAGTAAGCATGTTCTTTCGCGCGGTGGTTCTGGTATAAGAAATTGAAACGGTAAAATGTGCAGTGAGATTTGACAGGTAAGTTTCATTGGATTAATCATGGTCATCAACAACGAGCGTTTTGTATAAGGTTCTCGTAAGTTAGTTCGTTTTTAATATCCAGGTGATGACTAAAAGTTGCTGGACGGATTTACTTATACCTTTGCATCTCATTAAAACTTTGTAGATACGTAAAAGAAAATGAAGTTAAACGGAGTAATAAAAATGTTTAAAATGGTAACCGTCTGATTAGAGATTACCACACTGTTAAGCTTCATTTCTTTTCCAAAGGTAGTTGGTAGTCTTTGATTTCGCTGCGACGTCGATCGAATAGGCTCAAAGACTAACACAAGAGCTTCACTTACGAGTTTACTGCGAATGTGGTATGGCAGATTCAGACATTCACCGCAAGTGAATCAAATTTCAGACCAGAGCTGGTCTGTCTGATATATTACGTATTGTCGAAGATTCATTTCCGGTATCAGGCGTTCAGTTAAAAAAACTCCGGACCAATACTTCGGTCGACAACTAACAAAACAAGCGGATAGAGAAGTATTCATTCAAGAAAATCACTATGACAAACGAACGTAAGACCAAATACCAGAGAACAGGGCAGGCCTTGTAGATACGAGGGCTGAACAAAAGGTTTCCGAATACACAGTATACGTACGAGGTGCAGAGGACCGGACAAGGAGTGAACTGTAATCTATTGTGAATATTCTTCAGTGATTGCAACTCACACAATCTAACCTTGACAGTTGAGCACAGCTTACAAGGGATAAGGGTCACTAGAAGGATGGGACTCAAGGCCACTGGAGGGCGGTGATTTTCTACCACCACAAATGTGGTTTAAAGCAACAGCAGAATACTGATCGTCTGTGAGCTACCTTTAGTGATGACGCGCCTTCAAGGAGCACTTTGTATGAGTGGTTTGCGGAATTCATGTGTGGCAGACGGTTCCTGGATAATAAGACACGGTGTGGTGGACCTGTGGAGGCCACCAAAGCGGACAATATTGCTGCTGTGCAAGCGATGGTGGGGGAGGATGCGGGGGTGAGTGGCATAGCTGGCGAAACCCATGAGGATCTTATCGAGATCAATCCGCACTATCCGATATGAGAAGCTCAGCCTCAGAGAGGTTTGCACTCGCTGGGTACTCCCGTCAGATCAGTGAGAAACAGAAAGCAGTTAGGGTGCATTGGTGCCGCGCCACGTTTCCCAGGTTTGGTGGTGGACGTTTCAATGCAATTTTGGGAGATTACCAGTGGGGATGAGACTTGAGTGTACGGTTTCGAATCAGAGACCAAGCAACAATCGGCTCAGTGGACACCGGGTGGTGGGGGCATCGCCTCGGAAATTCCGACGCGAGCTCAGTGTGGTAAATCAGTTGGTGCCTGTTTTCATGACCAGGTGGCTACTGTTCCGCTCGTACAGTAAAGCAGTCCCCAGGGGCTGACAGACCACCCACTGTCTGCTGAAAGTGCTGGAAGCTGTTGCCAGGTTTCGTCCAAGGACTCCAGCACGAGGGACCATGGCAACGCACCTGCACACAGGTCCCATGTCGTCGGCGATTTTCTAGCTGGAAAGCGCATCCTGAAGGTTGGTAACCCACCCAGCTGTTCAGACCTAGCTCCGTGTGGCTTTCTTGTGTTCCCAAATGTCAAGTTCATGAAGTGTGGAATTCGACACGAGTCACCAGCAGCTGCAGTGGAGGCCCTTATTGAACTGATCAAAGGGTTACCCGCTTCGGCATGGTCGATCTGTTTCCCCAAATGGTCTGAGTGCATGGAACTGAACATGAACAACGGTGGACAATACTTCGAGAAAATGTAATACCTATTTTTGTGAATCAGATAAAACTGCTTTTACGTCCGGGCGCTTTTTTAGCCTTCATATAATGTGCAAGATGTAATCAATCTCGTCTCGTTTTTCTATAATTATTTCGGTAACCAAACCACACAAATTGATCAAATTCGGTGCGTTGACAATATAACTCGTTATCGCATGAGAAAATCAAACAGATCTTAAAAACAACTTTGTCAAATCGATTTGTTTTACAAAATATGTCCTTGGAGGTGCTGATTGTACCAACCCTGTAGTCGTTAAAACTGCACACAGCAGCCTCCCATCCAAGTCAGTCACATATCAGACGCGTTTGGAGACGTCCAGTTATACCACACGGAAAAATGTGCAAGCCGCACACTGCAAGGGAACAAGGAGCAACAATGACATGCATTGTGACCGACTTTCATGGGCCGGGTGTTAGTTGCTATCACAGATAAATGGCACGCAGTTCAAGAGCATATGAGCTGGACCAAGGAAAAATAATTGCCTACAAACACCGAAGTATCGCTTTATTCAAGACTTCTGGTAAAGTCACTCTCCACTGCCAGTACTTTGTCATTTTTTGGCAAACCTACATCGATAAGTCCATAAATTCGACGAAATATTAAGACACGAGGCATGATTTACAAATCACTCCAGGTCAGGTAACAAGTGTGTCTAAGTTATAGAGACCAAAAGGGTGTGTGCTGCGCATACAGTAACTATTACAATCTGTATACTTAGGATTCAGCATAACAGTATCACGGATAAGAGTAGGTCACACTAATGGTCAAATGGGGCTGAAATTAGGAATGTTCACCGACAACATTGAGGAACTCATCATCACATGAACGCGATTCCAAGTCATCGACCCAATGGTAGGAGTTTCATCATGGTCGAAAATGTTACGTTTTTGTAGATGGCAAGCCTCAGCCGGAAAAACCTCGAACAATAACTGATTCACATATCAAGTAGTTGACGGAGAATCAATGCGATTCCATACAATTTACTGGGGACTATGATTTTATGAAACCACAACGACACCATAATTACCGCCCACCACAACGAAATGCGGCTTATGGGCAGGGACATTTGGGGAATGAACCAGCTAGTTTTTAGCCGAGATACGAACCCATATGAAAAGTTCTCGTGCCTACTGGAGAGGTGGGTTTACTCACACGCTGAGGTATTCCGTTTTAGAACAATCTTGCAGCTCAGACACTCATGACCCTAAATGGAAGTACAACTGAATGTTGTCTTTCAGACGTGAATAATGAGCCAGCATTTTATCATGCTTGTATCCGTTTAGTTCCACACCGCGATTCACTGTCGTGTTTGTCTTCCTCTTTGAAGTTCAGTTCAGTTCAGTTTGTACAACCATTATCCATGTACCTTCGTGCAACGTTTTTGGTTGGTGTCTTTTGGTTTCCCATTGGATGAAGAATAGGGGAATACAGGAAGGTTCAAATTAGAGTCCAATAAAAAATGGAGAATTTCAGTGGTCCTAGGTTGCCAAGAAATTGGGAAGATGCACGAACGCCACTGTTTACGACACTCAGCTATATCACTCTGTCTGTAACCGTCAGCCAAGGAGCCTAACGGGACCTGTGACCCAGTATCCTGGTTAGGGATTTCATACCCTCGTGTCGGGTCTTGGCTTGACCACCCGTGGCTTTTTGCTTCAGTGGGCGACCGCGGTTACCCAAAACTCTGCGCCTGATATCAGCATTGCTCGTCTGGCTGCCCCACTAGATTCGTGTTATGCTGCATAGACAGCCTTTATCCTATTTCGGAAACATCCTTACCCCTTGATCCATTTGAATAAGACAACATAATATGAGCGGAATTGATAACGACCATTAATTTCGAATACTCCCACTGAGCTATCTACGCACAGTAGACCGTTCGGAATGTTATAAGAATGGAAAATGTCCTTATCCAATTGTTTACTTAACAAAACTGAAATTCTGGGCATTCAGACTTCTAAAACGGCTGAGTTCACACAGCAGACGGAAAGCATAAAGAAGGATGGCTGGAAGGGAATAAACTGACCTCCTCCTTGAGTCGTTCGATTTCCTCACGATCTTTCTTGCATGGCATAGATTTGAGAGCGCGCTGATATTCTTCCAAAATACGTCGTTCCTTCCTGTTGGTATGAAAAAAATCATTTATGATCAAAACTATGGGCTTTAAAGTGTTATGAGAATAACTAATAATTATTAGCAATATGAATAGTTTTGTGTTCCGAAGTGATTTGAAAACCCGGAGTTAAACTGACTCGCCCCAGGCTTTTCGTGTAATCATCGGGTGACCTANNACCTAATGAGTGAACTCCCATTGCGGAATCAAACCAAATGACAAGGACTAATAGAGTCGGAATAAATTTCAAATTTTCACATTTGGATCACCGAATTGACATACAGAGGCATGCAGAATTCACAAGGTAGAAAAAAAGCTGATTACCGCGACAGGTTTTTCCTACAATTCAACGCAATCCATGAATTGCTAGGGCAGAGTTAATTATTCAACAATGCTGTTAGCAGATCGAAGTCCTACCTTTTCAAATTGTGAACTTAATTATGTATAAGTTAAAAATCACGTCGAGACTGTACCTTGACGTGGTGTGACGGCTTGCGTGCCTCCATGACCCTGCGAGCAACACACGATAGCTTTTTATAGCCGCAAATCCAAACATGCCTGAAAGGT